TAAAAAATATTTTATTATAAGGCCCATCTAATGAAAATTTTTAATATTTCATAATACATTGTTCTGGTTTTAGGTGCATTGCTTTTCCTCTATTTAGATAATAGAATAAAATTTTACATAGTGAGTTAATCATGATAACACTTTTGTTGTCAGCTGACAAGTTGCAATTGGGAGAAGCAGAAAGCAACTTATCTAAAAAGCAAGTGATTTTAACAAGAGAGGGTTAGAGTGAACCAAAAAATATCAGTTTTTTTTGTATGGTGTCCTCTTCATCATATTCCCATTTACTTCTGATCAGACAAAATAATCCTACTGGACACAGTGGAGAAGGGAAGAATAGAAGAAAAGAAGAATTATGAGCTTAATTAATCAACCTTTTCAAAATGCAGAATAAACTTCATGCATTAATACAATGTATTTCTGAATTATGAAAGCTACCATCTTAACGGCAATCCCAGACTGGAAATAGCTTATAACAGATTCTTTCAGCAGTTTACCATGGATGAATAAAGGAATGGTGCCTGTAACAGGCAAAAAGATAAAAATGGAATTTGTGGTTTGACTGAAATAATTGACACAACTGTTAGCTTCAGTAAGCCCAAGATTTCATCTGATCTTTAGACCTTGGGTTACGGCCATCAGCTTAACTTCTGAACATACATGTAATCTTCTTAGCTACACTTGAATACCATGTGAACGATTCCGCAGGCTTAGTTTCCTATTGCTGAGCATACTAAATTGCTCTAATGGGAAACAACCAATATTGGCTAAACGAATAAAATAAATAAAAAGATAGATGACTTATAGCAATACATTTTCCTGCAGTTGTAGTTCTAAGAAATGTAGCACAGATTACAGAGTCTTTCTGTCTGCAGTGATAAGCAGATATTGCTTAAATATATGCAATAAATTAAAGGTAAATAGATTTGCCTGAGACAGGCTAAGTATAGAAAACGTTAATATCATTGAATCATAGAATCATAGAATGGTTTGGGTTGGAAGGGACTTTAAAGGCCATCTAGTCCAACCCCCCTGCAACGAGCAGAGACATCTTCAACTAGATCAGGTTGCTCAGAGCCCCGTCCAACCTGACTTTGAATGTGTCCGGGGATGGGGCATCTACCACCTCTCTGGGCAACCTGTGCCAGGGTTTCACCACCCTCATTGCAAAAAATGTCTTCCTTATATCTAGTCCAAATCTACCCTCTTTTAGTTTAAAACCATTACACCTTGTCCTACTGCAACAGGCCCTACTGAAAAGTCTGTCCCTATCTTTCTTATAAGAGCCCTTTAAGTACTGGCAGGCTGCTATAAGGTCTCCCCGGAGCCTTCTCTTCTCCAGGCTGAACAACCCCAACTCTCTCAGCCTGTCTTCATAGGAGAGGTGTTCCATCCCTCTGATCATTTTTGTGGCCCTTCTCTGGACCTGCTCCAACAGGTCCATGTCTTTCCTGCACTGAGGACTCTAGAGCTGGACACAGTACTGCAGGTAGGTTCTCACCAGAGCGGAGTAGAGGGGTGGAATCAGCTCCCTCAACCTGCTGGTCATGCTGCTTTTGGTGCAGCCCAGGATACAACTGGCTTTCTGGGCTGCGAATGCACGTTGTTGATACTGATAGGTACTGGTACTGGGCTTTAAGTGAAAACAGACCCAAGCACTGACCAATGACTGGAGGAGTTTGAAGTACATCTATGTCAACTGCATTATGTCGTGAACCAACCAAAATATATATAATTTTTTTTTTTTTTCCTAGATCTATGCTATCTTTTACTTTGATCTGGACTACCATTTCCTTAAACATCAACAAAGATCACTGTCCTTGCCAAAACTAGAGAATACCATGTACAATAAATATATTTTGATCCAGATACACAAGAAGAAATAAAACCACAAAAAGCTAAGTATTATGATGATTAAAAAGCAAACTGAACCTGTCTTCTTGTCCCCCTGCTGAAACTGTCACAGACCGTTAAAATATGAATGTATGCTTTCTTTTAAAGGGAACACAAAACCTTGCTGAGCAAGCTGGAACATCGCCTCTAGAACGTACTTATACAGTCTACAAAAAACATAAGATTGAACTATTAATTTCATGACAGAAAATGCTGTTAGTCAGGAGTTAATCACACGTAGTTGAGCCTATATAGACTCAATACCATTAAGGAAGGGCTTGTTATAGTAAGGAAAACCACACTAATTAGAACCAGAACAAAGAGCACTGGAGAATATACAGAAAACATACCACATGGCTTTTTATTTTATTTATTTGGCATTTCTGCAATTTGACACTGTTCTGTCTTTCCAGAAAATTCTAGAAAGAGTCATCTGTCCAATCACAATCACCCTTGACTGCTCAGAAAAAAAATCACACTAGGTGGGTGTAATGTTGTGAGAGTATTCTCTACTTCTAAGACTATGTGACATACCAAAACTCCACAGGCAATAGAGAGATACAACCTCTTTGTGTATCCTTTACGAGCATTAGCCTAATTCAGGCACTCAGAATCTTCCTCTCTACCCATTGACTCTGTAGATACAATCTAACTATAACTGTATATATGTGTGTATGCAAATAAATACTGTACTGGGCATGGCTACGATGGAGTTCCTTTTCTTCACAGCAGCTCATATGGTGCTGTGTTTTAGATTTGTGACCAAAACAATACTGATAACACATTAATGTTCTGGCTTTTGCTGAACAATGCTTGCACAGCATCAAGGCCATCTCTGTTTCTCACTCTGCCCTGCCAGTGAATAGATTGGGACTGTGCAATGGGTTGGGACAGGACGCAACCAGGCAGATGACCTGAACTAACCAAAGAGTTATTCCATACCACGTAAAATCATGCTCAGCAATAAAAGGGAAAAGAGGGGGTTTAGGGAGGTTAGTCATCATTTGCTTGGGAACTGGCTGGGCATCGATCTGCCTGTGGGAGGTGTGGAATAACTACTGGAGGTGACTTAGAAATTAAACCTATATTAAAGGTATGGCATTGTTCACACATTAAGGAAAGATATAACGTCGAAGAAGCTTTCAGGGTGGAATGCAACTGGTATGCAAGGAATCCATTCCATAGTGGTTCTCTAGACAACATTACCTGCAAACTGGCACGGAGGGTGGAATGGGGTGAAGACTCCATGGCCAGGCTCTGCGAATCACTGCAGAAATGGGACCTTCATGGTACTATGGTACTGATAACCTGCATATTTGACCCCCATCCCAAAGACTACCCGCCTCCAAGGTGCGACCACCCCCTCACTGAGCCTGCGATCTGAATTTTTGTTAATCTATACCTTTAAAAGTGAAGCGAGAGAATTTTATACCAATCACAATAACGGTATGTATGACTAGAGTCACTCAAGCTCCACCTTGAAGTAAAAAATGTATAAAAATGGCCTAAGGAAGGGGGAATGTTAGGGAAGGTAACATCAAAGACAAGTCAGGGAAGATACCATCACAGACTACCTCTGACTCCTGGGATCAGTCGATAGGCTGAGCCTCCCTTCCCCCCCATAGGGACGCCTTTGGGTAAGATATGGACTACTTAGTAATGTCTCTCTCTATAGAATCACTTTTCCTTTTGGTTTCGTGTGCTGTATTAAAGTTCACATGTGCTTTTGCAGACAGTGTATTTATCACCGACAATCCATAAGAACCTATAAATCTGTTGGTTTAATAAACTGCACTATTTGTTAAGCTAGCCATATAAGTTTCTCATTGGGCGCTGCCAACTCTCTAAGTCTGGCTGTGTGAGTCCACGGAGCATGACTAAGCTGAAAGTGCAGTGTGCTATTAGTGAATGCGTAATTGTGAGAGTTCAATAAGTTGAATGTGACTAGACTAATAGTGCCAAATTGGATATCACTCAGAATCTAAACCTAGCCACCCCCAGCCCCTCTGATATCAGAGGATAAGCTGGAACACAAGGGGGTTTGTTTTCTGCCAAATTACTCTACCCTTTCACATGACAGGAGGTGGTGAGTGATTGTCTTTGCATCACTTGTTTTGTTTCATTTTCTTTCCTCTTCCCTTTATCCTTTATTTATTAAACAATGTTTTTTTATCTTGGCCCCCAAGCTTTATTGCTTTTACTATTCCTTTTGTCTTCCTCCCATCCTCCTAGGGGTGGAGGGAAGTGAGCAAGCAGCTGCATGGTGCTTAACTGCCCACCAGGATTAACCCACAACACATACATGTTTATACAAACATATCGGCTTATATACATATATATATGACAACCTAATCAAGTTAGCTAAATTAAGAGCCTAGAATAAGGTGGCACGAATCTTCCTCACTGCAGTTAGATGAGAATTCAACCAGCCATTCTATTGTGTTAAACTATTCAGATACTGCAGTGGAGCTCAACAGTTTTGAGTAAGACTAACATTTTAGAAATATGCATGAATTAATGTTTTATTGTTACTAATGGGGTAAAAAACAAACAAAAATGAAGATAAAGAAAAAAGCCAACAGTAGAAGACCACAAAAAGTTCACACTTTCAAATACTGAATATGTGTTCGAAAATACAGATAGAGAAAGTGTGTTATCCAGTGTCTTTTCATTTCCTATTAATTTTCACATCTAGACTGCAAAAATATAACATAAGAATTATAAAAATTTTCACCTGAATATTTGAAATAACTCATATTATATTTTGAAACCCTTATTCATTATGCTAAATATAACAAGATTTTATAAACTGGAAAACAAGACAGTGAATATTGGCAGTATTGTTCAATAACAGTATACCTTAATGGGATGGAAAGGGGTATCAGCTATCACCTTTGGCAAATGACATCACCTTGGCTTCAGGTTTTTCAATCAGTAAAATAAAGATTCCAATTCAACACAATTTCAGTTGTAAAAAAGTTCAACCTATGGATTAATCAATCCACAGATTTGAAAATGCTATATAGTATATTCCTAACATTTTAATTTTTTTTTTAAATTATTTTTCCTTTTTAACCATAAAGTTCATTGTGCTAGTTCCTACTTACCTTGGTATGTCAACTTAAATCCTTGCCTGTTTTCTGAGTGATCACTGTAAAAATGGACCAGTGTTTCATGAGTGGTACTTAGTAAGGGTGATGGGAGTTCTGTTCCACTAAACTGGCCAATCATAGAGCTGGTGTGGTAAGGCCCATTCTGAATTTCAAGGAAATCATGATTTGCTTCAGTAGAGAAATTCAGAAACTGAATGTGTGCACCTGCAGCATTGAGAAAGAAAGAAAGAAAGAAAGAAAAATTAAAACCAGAGTTTTTATAACTCATGTTACTTAATGCTACAGCATGCAAATACAAAAAAAAAAGTCATAACAACTGTGATAGGCACTATATTTATATTTCAGACACCATTCAAGGTGGCATGCTTAAATTAAGGAAATAGACTCCACGTATTGCAAGAGTTGGTGCTTCTAGTTTTTTTGTTCCCAATAAATATCATAACCACACATGAAGAGACCAATGAAAGGAAATCACAAAGTCAACAACCAGATATTTGTCAGGTTCCTAAACCAGCCAACAGAAACACTCAAGCAAGGGGCACATCACAAATCTTGCTGTGTCACAGCATGGTCAGGACTCTGCCATAAGAGCATTACCATAGCTGGGCCAGGCCTCTCATAGGGGCTCAGGATCAGCTCAGCATGCAGGAAGGTTACTACAAGTGATCTTTCAGAGGCAGAAATTCAGCTACCTAGTTCCAACTATCTACTCTACCTTGTTTTTCCTGACCCAGTCACCTATATTTACCTCCTCTTCCCTCCAGCTTGGGCCAGTGTGCCTTTAGAGCCATTCTACTCTGTGTGCAGTACTATAAGATGCACTGAACTCCAGACTGGTGACAGGTACTTACTCAGAATCATTTACCACAATCCCTCTCCAGAAGTCAGGTCGTTGAACCAGGCCTTTCTCACAAAATGAAAGGGAGAGAGACAACTCCCAAAATGCTGAACAGTCAGAAGAATAAGCATAATCTCATGCGAAGAGCTGTTTTTAAGTTCTGGCACTACTTCATGTGGACTAAGGACTTGAAATTCAGGCTTCTCAAATTATGTGTATATATAATATCAAAAGAAGGATGGAGGATGAACCCCTGGTAAAAGGCAAGTAGTACCAAGTAACTTGCAACTGCACCACTTGGGCCTAACCTTGCTCTGGTAGACTATGAAGAACTAGCTGGAATGGAATAAAACAGAATTACTGAAGGATCCAACAAAGCAGTGTGAAATATTCAATGCCTTAACTCTCTGCTTGACATTCTCATTCAGCAGTAGAGTCATCCTCATTCCAGGAGAGTACCTTACAGATTACCAGCATAATCATTCAGGTCATTCACTCAGTCTTGCTCTATAGCTCATCTCTTTGCCTCTGTGGTTTGACTTGTATAAAAGGGATATTTTTTTCCTACAGGAGAAACTAAATAAGCTACCAAATAAATTGGTTGTTACAAAACACTTGTAAAAATATGGGATATTTAGCTCTAGTACCTCCTCTGACCTATGCAGAGCAGGAGATATGAAAACAAGTATTTCAGCTGCTGAAGAAGAAAACTTATTCCAATGCTATCAATAGAGAGGCATTTACAGAACATATCAAAGTCTCAATATCAGCCATCTCTTGTATGATGTCTGATACGGTTAGTCTGACTTGAGTGAAACCACTAATTTTATAATGTTCTTGGGATTTAAGATAAGGTAGGACACCAAGCAGCTTGGAAACATCTTGACTTCAGTATCAGCATTTAGTGATTCCCACCAGGGACTGGATGTCAGCAGCATAGGAATTCTAAAGAATTGAGCAGCCACTTAATATTATAGTTAAGTTGCTAAAGTGAAAGTAGATAATTGAATCTGACATATGTATATAGACCCAAAATCAGTGTTTAGGTATTTAAATAAAAGTGGCCTACTGTTCTGAAATAGTCTCTGATGAGCCATGGAGTGCATTTAAAATTGAATCAGTCTTATTTAATTACTGAGGAGGAATGTATATGACTAGTTGTAAATATACAGTACAGAAAAGCTTTACATCTTAAAACTAAAAAGTAGATTTACCAGTAACTTTAAAAAATTTAAACTACCTAGAATAGCCACATTTTAAACACAAACATAAACATTTTTTTTCTTAAAGGTTTTTCAAAGACACAATTTCAATCAGAGGGGACACTGTATGTGTCACTCAAGCCTTAACTCTAAGTTTATACAGCTTCCAATTGTCAATTTGATATGTCAAAGTCTCCTACACTAAATAATTTCTTACATAAAATTATACAGAATAAAACTGATAGCTACAGAAAATAAATCCTTATCCAGTCAAACTATAATTATATTACTTCCTGCTCCAGTCTCAACAGGATTTCCTCTCTCACTCGAATAGACTCTTAATAATGAGAATTCCAAGCTGAGCTAATCTTTTTTTACAAATGTTAATCAATTAACAGCTACCTGAAATCATTGCGAAATCACTGCAAGTCACTTGAAAAGATGTACTTCCCATCTATTTAAAATGTTTGGATTTTAGTAGTGTCTTCTTTAACATGATCAGTATATTTTCATGGGCTTCATTCAGTTACAAAGTTTGAATAAATGGGTGGAATAAAGGAATACTTACTGAGGGATGAAGTTACTGTGAGGTTAATTGTTTCAGTGGAATTTGAATCAATCATTACATGTTCATGAGTGTCCTCTTGATCAGTTTTTGTGCACAGTGCTAATCTCTAACTCATTCAGTATCACCTTAAAATCCTTCTCCCAAAAATCCTGGAGCATTATTAAATTTTGGAAATATTTTCTATATTTCAAAGATTTCATGTATTTACTTTGATACAATAGAATGAATGTAGACAAACAGCTCCTAAGTAGACAAGCTTATACTTGTACTTAACACAGTATCCAAGATTTTGCAATGGAAGTTCTCTGTGAAACATCACATCAATCACAATTTTTAAACCTGCTATAAAGACATTATCTGTGGATTATTTGACAAAGACTTTGGGAAAAAGATCCCTGAAGCAACTTTATGGTAAAAAATGTCCTCTTCTAGTATTTTTGAAAGCAATGATAGATCAATGGTATGAACACCTTGTACCTGTTAAATCCCTTGCCAAACAAAACCATAATCTTTTCTATTTATAGGATTTCCACTACCAGACAATGTCTGAGAAGTGAGAGGGATAATAGTAGGATACAAGACACTCTTGCGTAAATTCATGAAACACTGCCTACATGGAAAAGCTTAAAGAAAAAGAGCAACTCTGAGAAATATGAAGGGCTGTTTTTAAAAGGCAGTATTGTAGTAACCCAGTTAGGATGACATCACTCCAGAACAGTTGCTTATCATTTATATTTTCTGCAAATGTAGCATTAGAATGCCAAAATTAGCCAAGGATGTTCTGTGGTTGTCCTAAGGCTATAAGGATATCTAAGGCTACTAAGGCTATCCATAACTACGATGGATCAAATTTACCAGGTATGCACTGATAAAGGGCACTATTCTAAATAATAGCACAGGATTTCTAAAAATTAACCTGTAAAATACACTCTATGTAAGTAGTACATCTTACTGCAAAAATCCCTCTTAGAAATTCAAATGGAAAGCACAGAAAATAAATTCATTTCCAGAGATGGTTATAGGGAATTTAATAATAAGCTTTTAAAATTAATTTTCTTATTTGAGCGCTAGTATTGAATTCACAGTATGGGGCATAATGTTTCACAGCAAGAAAACTTATTCCTCTTTTATTTCTGATCATGACAGAAGATTGTTTTATACATGCACTTATAGATCCCTTATTACCCATGATTACCTTCTCAACCTAATTATTATTAATTTGTGGAGATATTTTCTGTATTACAATAGTTTTAGTGCAAACCTAGAAAGTATCTAGGTTGGCAACTCTTACCTGGGATTTGCGATATAGTTTTAAAATGTTTCTGACCAAATTCATAGTGCTAGAAATGAGGTTCTGTCCAGTTTCATAGAACATAAGAAATGTTGTTAAAAAGTCACTTGGGGGACAATGAAAGGACATTAAACAGAAGACCACTAATTAATTTAGAAGTTACTTTATCTATTTTATCTGATATATCGTCATGCAGCAGACTTCATTTGCTCTGAAATCAGTTTCCAAGACAGGCTGAGCGTTACAAATAACAAGCTGCTTTGACAAAGATATATTTTTAAATTGCCAACCATTTTAAAATCAAAAGATACCACATAATTATGTAAGGGGTTCACCATACATTTGCTGGACAAAACCTACTTCATACTGGAAATTAGAATATTCTTATACATATTTAAATCTGATGGTTACAAATAATTGCTCTCCAAATGTAAGTTTACTTACCATATCCAATAGGCAATAAAATTTTCCATGTACAGTCTAAGTTACTAGGGTAATTTCCAGGAAAACCTGGGCTCAGGATCACACCACCCATGTTTGTCAGTGTTCCACCACATTTAGCTATTAAAAATAAAAAAAAAGTCACTGTATCTTTTAATAATATTATTTCTTAATCTTTGGCATGAGATTAATTAAAAAACAGATTTTCTGTTTTATCCCCATGACTCCCAAGCAGTGAATTTTTTTAAATTTATCACAGTCAAAACATTCCTCATGAAGGAGGGGGAAAAAAAAAAAAAAAAAGAAAGAATTTGCGTTACAGCAAAATGCTTACTTAATGCAACATGTTCAGTGTGATTTTACTGCAAATGTGTAGTTGCACATATAGACTGGGTAACCCATTGTCTCACTTTGCCAATTAGAGTTAAAAATGTCTGGTGCTATGTTGAGATAGGCTTCATAATAAGAGGAACAAATCTGGAATTAAACTGAATTATGATACTGATCCATGACGCAGCTGCAGATCTACTAGTTAATATAGCTAAAATCATACTTGAGTTTAAAAACAAACAAACAAACCCCAACACAGTTCTTTCTTTAATTCAGAAAGAGGATAGACTAGCTGCATAACAGAATTATTCTTTGTTTATTATCTGTATGCTTTTCTTCAGCAAATTCATGTGTTTGGAGATTGAAAAGCCATTTGCATAATTTAGGATGACATAAAGCTAAACTATAAATATGTGAAGTTACTTGTAAGGAAGTGGCTGAGTTTACACCTTTGCTAGAAAAATAATATGAAGGAAGAGTAACTTCAAGAAATCAATTTTAAATTTTGTAATTTATATTTACTATTTGAGGAATCATTATTTAAAGTCTATGAATCTTCATGTCAGGTATTACAGTGATGTATGATCTGGTAACAGAATTGTGATGCTGTGATACTGTGCATTGTGATAATTGTACTGAAAAAATGAAAATAATCTACTGGTTAGACCACACAAGAAATTGAATCAAAATAGGAAGAACTCCACTAAATAGTTGAGAAATCAGTCCCAAACTTCTCAAATATCTCTACCTCCCTGCAATGTTAAATACATTATTTAGTGAAAAGAACAGATTTTGCTTCGCATTTCTAGAAAAATCAATATTTTAAAGGTTGGAGGCGAGGGAGGGTCATGTTTTAAGGGTTTGTTTGTTTTCTTGGGGATATTTTAGCTTCCAGGACAGCAAAATTTCATGAACTAAAGGAAAAAAAAAAAAAAAATCAATGAGCACACTGTTTGCGAATAGGAACCATACTTAATATACAAGGTAAAACATAATATTAGCAAACACCCCCTCCCCCCCGAACTGCAAAATACACCTTCCTGAATAAATATTCCATTTCTAAAATTGAGTTGAAGGAACTGCATTGCTTTCATGTTAATCACAAATGACTGCTTCTGTAGAAGTTGACAATACAACTTAATATATAGGCCTAACAAGGAATCTTTTAAAAAAATTTCACATTAATATTGCTTGATATCATTCAAATCTTTTAAATTCCTCTAAGATATGAAGCTAAAAGAAACAGCTTTTGCTGACTGAATATTAAAGTTAAAAGCATTCACCAAAGAATGTACTTCAAAGCTGAAGTGACAGACCGTTACGATGGAGCTGTGCTTCTCTCCCCTCCATTCCTGCTTTTTCTTGAAAGAAGCACGCCAAAATCTTGACTTTCTTAAAGTTTGTTTAATCAAGAAACAATACAGCAGAACAAGATTGTTATCTACACAGGGAAGACTGATATCTATTGGGTAAGGTCTTTGTGTGCTTCAAAGGGAATTTTTTTTTTTAGCTTTGCTTTTTAACTCGGCATTATTTAACGGCTTTCTCAGATGAAAACAGCCAGCCTTTTCTGGATCCCTAAAACTCTTTTTCATTCCACCACCCCGGAAGGCTTGGCTCCAGAGCTGCTCTCCACTGTAGACAGACTGCTTGCTTCTTTGAGAAGTCTCCTAGGCTCCCTGCATGACCTGCCTTGTTCTTGAGAAGGTCCTCCAAGCTGAGCATGCTGCAAAAGGAATGTGTTAACTTGTCTCCCTTCAGAAGAAGATTCAGCCTGATTCAAAGCAGAGTATTAAGGACAAGCTAAACAATGGTAAACATCTGGGTTTCCTCCTTTGCTCACTCTCACAATATTTTTTTAAATAGCATATACACTATATATAAAGAAAAAATTTATTGTAGTTTCTCCGCATTTCATAGATAAAAATGGAAACTCAAAAAAGTTTGGAATGAAACAGAATTAAGTGAAGGAACAACAGGCATGACAAAGCCAAGAGTTTCTTCTGACTGATGCTCAGAACACACTGAAAACAAGTAAATATCCATACCAATGCAGAGAGGAGATGGATAGTTCCAGCGTCGAACTGTTCCTGGCATGCAAGAAATATGAGAACGGCCCTGTTTGGAAAGGGCAGAATATTAGATTACAGATACTCATTATGAGATTTTCCAGGAAGGCAGAGCTACGGAGGACCTCCTAGATTCTTATCTGTGTCTTTTCTTATATTAACCAACTGCCTTATAATTACTTTTATGAATTTGTTAAACTCTGTTTTCAAATACTTCAGGTTTAATGTTCTATTTTTCTGCTGGATAAATGTCCTAAAACACTCTTCCTTTGATAACTTGAAAACCTCTTCATGTTTTTGACTAAATATAAGGCTGGTAACAAGACAGAAGCACCTGACTATATGCATTCATATGGTCAAATTGGTTCACTCCTTATTTCAATTCCAGGGTTCTCATCCACAATGTAAGCATACTAGTTCTTTTTCAGGCTGCAGTCTGGAGTGAATCAACCATTGCTCTGAATGAACAGTACAGACACGGAGAGGAATTTGTTCCACATCTGCTTGCTACAGATGGTATGGATGTGGACCATGCCAAGACAGTCGTCCACAGTTATCAGCTGGGCTTGAACTCTCACATGGCCTCACAACATGACCCGCTGCATACATGCAACACCTTGGCAGACAGCTATAAAAGGACAAGTGCCTCTTTACTTAGCTGTCATGTTTAATTTACTCTGCCTATTTTTAAGAAACGTCACAAGAACCAAGCAGAATCATGTGGTGGTAGCTGGAAGTGAAAATGACATGGCTGTAACCTGCAAAGCCTATTCCCACACACTTCAGGGTGGCTGCCCCAGAGCAACTGCAAAATGCTCCCAGCTTTGCTTGCACTGGGAACAGTTCAAGCTGAAAACTTAACAGTAGCACGAACAGAAGTTTTTATTTGTCAATTCTGTCCTCTGAGGAACTCAGGTTATGCATTCTGCTGTTGAAATGTGAAAGCTGAATAAACTGGCAGGAGTGAAAGCATCTGATAAAAAGACTGAGACGTGGGACTGGGAGCAAGGTTTAGTTCCTGTTTTAATTGTCTGGATATACAAACTTGGGCAAGTCACTTAACATTTCTTGTTTATTTTTATCAAGTATATTAAGAGTCTAATATTTAGTAAGTTAGCATATTTTATCAATATAATATGAAGGCTTACTTAAATATTAGTTGTCCATAGCAATCAAAATCTCATAAAAATAAGATGGAATAAGTAAACTACAGTAAAGGCAAATCCATTTGATGAAATTGCTTCTGCATCATTTGGTATGTTTACAAAAAAGAAACTACACACACTACCTTGAATAAAGTTCATATAGAATAGTATGGAATAAAACTAGTTTAATTAATCATTTAGTTAAATACATTTAGACAATCAGCTTCTGAAAGACAAACTGAAACACTTCCAAAATATGGCTTGAAGGAAAAAAAAATCAGTTTTCATTAAAATTAGGAAAACTTAAATTAGTCTTTTTCTTATAAAAGTACTAGAAATTGATAACAATTCAATGTTTTTTTAGAAACCAACCTTTTTTATTTTAGCACTTATTGTGTCATCTTAGTTACTTGCAAAATGGATGAGGTTTTGAATAATTTACTTAATGCAATACTCCCTGTTTTATTTTATTCTCTCCTCCTAGTCTTCTATGATTGCATGTCTCTGATGTGAGTCGGGGGGGAAGCCATAATTTAACTACCACAGTCAGGAAAAAAAATAAAATGGCCTATAAAAGATCTTTTGAAAAATAAAATTAAATGATTCCTCTGGCTTCAAGCCTCTTCCCAACAAGAGCACGCTCTGATTTCAGTCTTTTAAAGTCCCCTCCTGGGGGGAGACACTTAATCCTACAGCTAGCAATTACCTTTCTTATGCATCTCCAGGTAGTAGTTTGAGCTCTATGACTTTTCTGGTAAGTCTCAATTATAAACTAATCCACACCTGATTGTTATTGCTAGCTGTGAATATGTTCTCTAAAGACGGAGGTAAATTCACAGCTAGAGTAAAAAAAAAAAAAAAAAGGATCTGCAAAGTTATGCTGATCTATACTTGTTGAATAGCAAATACACTGTGCCTTGTCGAACCTTATTTTCATTATTATTTCTTTTTAATTTGGAGCCATTTTTACTTGTCCTGTCTGAGGAACATACTACACATACATGTGGATGCACTCTCTTACACCAGCGTCCATACAGCATAGAAATCCTCATTAATATTTTTAAAAGCTTCAAACTCTTTTCTGTTGAATTTGGATATTGAAGGTCTTTTGTTTTACACTTTAGACAAGATCATGAAACTAGTTTTTCTATAAGTCATATTCCACAGTGAGGATTAAATTTGTACATTTATGGAAACAGAAGTAAGAAGTACAGTTAAGGAACAATATGCTATGAAATTTTAAGAAAGTATTTCATTATAGAATCCCTGTAAGTATAAAACCAAAACTGCAGTTAGTCATATTCAAGGACTACAGAAAAGACCTGCATGTAGACAAAAGATGTCATGTGGTTTTGCGATAGTGATATACACAGTGTATTAAAGTTTAGCACTAACACAGATCGGTTTCTTATGTGCAGATCTCTTTCTCACAAATACATGACTGTGTTGTACTAATACTGTATTTATGAACTCACATTTCTGATTTTTTTCTAAGTAAAAAAAGATCCAAAATATCAAGTCAGGACTAACAATGTGTATCTTCAAAAGGTTTCCTGTACTCATTCCAACTACTTCTGAAGTATTCATATTCTACTGTTATCATTCTACCTTGATATTTCAGCAATTCTATTTTAAGTATGGACAGAAAATTCAATGATGCTGTATCTTGAGGGCTTATCTATTTCTAATCCATGTCAGAAAAATGGAATCATCCCCTTTTTTCATATGCAAAATGCAGATGCTTCATAATTGAAAAAGTAGGGAGAGAAGAGTGTGAAATATGATGGGCAATACAAGTAGGAGTCACCTCACCAAACTGAAGCAGTTTAAAGCTAGATACCCATGTTAACCATTTGATATCCTAATCAGTGAAGAAAGGCGATACTTTCAGAGTAAGGTACCTGTCCTAACACAAAATCTTAGTACGAATCAGCCCTTGGAGGTGTGTGGCTATTTATCTGTAGTGTCACAATGAGACCCTAAACAGCTGATTCAGATTAGATAACTAGCGGTTAGATGGAATAAATTGGATTAGATGCTATTCCATCTCCAGAGGAAACAGTTAGTATAGGGTAAGTTTTTCACTTTTTTTCTATCAGATCACTGCTATAAGCTTACCCAACAATCAGATGTTCACCTATATATATTTCAGTCTTAATGGCTCAGAAGCGGTGGCCTGGATCACAGCAATGAGGTGCTAAGCACCTATTGGCAATTATATGAGCAGCAATTCTATGACAGCCCTACCAGCATCACCATCAGATCCTGACCCTTTTCACCATAGGGTCGAACTGAATAAAAATATATAAAGAATTCCACACAGCTTTTCTACAAATATTCAAAATAGGAATCTTTCTCAAAGAAGCAAAAAAGAGATTACTTTTGATTTAATCCAACAACTCTTAAAATACAATTATATTTATTATTGTTTAACCAAGTTTATTATAGGCTGACTTTCAGATAGATTTTGCATTGAAATAGAATGTCCTGAGTCTAGGGATTAATAATAATAAATTTAGCTCAATGCATACAAAAAAAAAGGATGATAAGAACATATAAGCTACATCTGTACTAGTGGAAGTGCTTGGGCTTGTTTTCTAGCCTTGAGGTCAAATGCATATTCTTTTGCATATCTACGTCCTCAACTTTTTTCTTCTGAATTCACCTCTAAAACAAAGTGTCACGATGCAAACTGCCTATAAGGAATAGTCTCTGGCTTGTGATAATTACTGAACTGTGATACTTCACCTAGGCCAAAAGCATGCTAGCACCTCATTATAACAAATTAATATCAGTGAAGATCAAATTTCAGTTCCCATATCTTTGCCTCAGCTATAGCAACATAAATGTATCTGTAGAATATGGGTCTTTATCATATACTTAGTTTAATGCTACTTTGAAATAGAAAAAAGGTTAATGGTTCATTAGCAGTCTTTAAATGGAAGTCAGAATCCATCTGGGACTCAAGCTTTAATGACAGACAGTCCTTTTGAAGGGACCATATAATAAAAATATGATATCAAAGCTCTCATTTTCTTACTGACATTACTGCTACCTACAAAGGATACTGTAAGGGAAAGATGAAATACGGAAAATAAAGGTTTTAAACCAGTAGGTATTTTCAAAATAACATTAAATTTTCCTTTGCTGGAAAGAGAAAAACTTAAGTAGTTTATATTTGAATGATCAGCTGCCTTGTCAGCAATCCCTGAACCATTAAATGAGCAGCAAGTGCTCAGGATGGGCACAGTAGGCCTTATTGGGCCCAAGTCTTGAACCTTTTCTACTTAGTAGGATACTTATATGACAGAATCCTTTTTGGTATGGATATGGGATGCTTCTGATACAGTCTGTTTCAAGTCATGCTATAAATGTAAAGAGCATGCATTAGGTTAAAGACTTGACCCTGTATCTGTAACACATGACTGAGAAGGTAAACATTGCTGATTACCTAGAGAGACTTTTCAAGTGCAGGTGTTCCCACAGCCAGCCTAAAGCTAAGATGTTCAGTCTGAATCCTGTCTGAATTTTAGGGGAATGGTAAGGAATACTGAGACCAAAGAATAAGTCCATATGTGCTGAGGGAGTACTGAACTGGCAAACATCAGATAGGGAGCCAGAACTTTATCATTCTCTGGAGGAGAAGTTGTGACACTTTGCTTTCTCTGATACAATCATATGCTTTTACATTGTCTTGAGTGGGACCTATTACCACCCAAAAGATTCTGAACTCAGATGTTTTCAGTGTATTGCACCAGTGGTGGAATACATGTAAATGAATTAGAGGAACTAAAGAGGGAAGAAAAAAGCTTTCAGTCTTAGATTTACATAGTGCTGTGACATTTATAAACAGCAGAACAATAACATGTCTACCATGGGAAACTAAACCAGTGTGTGAACAGTGAACATCCCTAATCTGTGAGCTAATTTGTAATATTTCTTTCCTTGAAAGATTTTTAAGACTAGATTTAGCATGAATCAAATTTGCTTTAGAAAATAAATTCTACAATTTCTGGGCAGAATATGAAACCCCATGATGTATTTCTACCACTGTGGTTAAAATTTCACCTAGAGGAACCACTTCCAAAAATGGGAAAACACGGTACATTTTCAATAAGCACAGTACTAAAATAATTTTCTAGAGAAAATATTTTAACCATGTTATTTTCTTGTCTATTTTGAAGTTTTTTTACTGCTTGATGGTATGTTAATCTAAGACAAGATTTGCCAGCCCAGATTTACTGAGGGCCAGACATACTACACATTCATAGCTTTATAATGCGGGAGTACTCACATAGGCTCTACTTAAATCATGTCTATGGACACACTACAGACTCTTCATTAAAATAGGTTTGGGGTGGGTCTATTGCCATTTTGTTGTAATTATTACACAGTGTATAATTCGAAGAAAAATGAAAGAAAGAAGTACCTGTAATGTATATCCTGGCTCACACTGAAATGACAAAACATCATTCACCATATATCTATCTCCTGATTTGATCCCATTGCTAGGAATTACTGGTTCTGGACAGGCAGCAAGGCCTACAGCTGAGGAAAGTAAACACAAAGATTGAAAAAACATAGATAAGTGGACAACAGCTCTTCATTGATATTCTCTGCTCTAATTAATTCTTTCCACAGCATTGGGTTTTTTAAAAGAACATTAATTAAAAATTTATTTCAACATTAAACTGAAATTTTGCTTAAAACACCAAAGTTTTCAGAACTGCCCTGCAGAATACAAATGGTATGACTGAAACACAAAGATTATATACTGTGACTGTACCAATTACTGTGTCATGTTGCTGTCACATACTATCCTATTTTATTGTCTTCAACCAGTATGGTAATTCTAGTATATTAAACAGCCTTTTTTCTTCTTCTTCTTTTCTTTCTTATCCTCCTGAAGGAAATGGAGAGAGAAAGAGGGAATACACTTTATGCATATTCTCTCTTTTCAACAATAGATGAGCAGAACTATTGAGGTTAGGTGGTAGAGCCTTTTGGAACAGCAGCTAAAGGCCAAAAGTGTTTCTTATGTTTAGAAAACTCCATTGACTATAAAGAAGTTCAGACATCTGAAATTTAGTACTCTTAACCCAAAACTAAATCTCTGCATAGGTGTGACAGGACAGTCTGTTCTTAACTATTTTTAAGCCAGGTGTTAGCAAACAGATTAGTTTTACAAAGAGACTTCATGATTAGTAATTTCTCAAATGTGTTCACCTAAATTTGGCAACCCAAAGTACTAGCTTCTGCTTTTTGCCAAGTGCATATCACTTTTGGTTTTTTCCCTTGGGTGCTTACCTAAGGAGTTTGTTAGTCAGTACAACTGAAAATTACATATCATCTCTGCTATCTAAGCTAAAATGCTCCAAATGAACAAGACAGTTGAGAAACTGCTTATTAGATTCAATAACTCTGTGCTTTTAACATTTTCTTCGCAAACAGAAGGAGCAGCAGAATTAGTTTGCTGGTTTATGGTCTGACAATAGAATCTCATTCCCCTTATAATATTAAAAACCTTATTTGAAGTAAAAAATAAATTTAAAACGTATAATCTTAATCATAAAACAATTTATTAATTAAAGAAAGTTACTAATGAAACATAAATTTGTAACTGCTATATTTATTAAAATATGGCATGTAGAAGCCAGAACAGAATGGAGATTATTTTCACAATGTATGAGAAAAGATCTTTAGAATTTATTAGCATAAAATTCTGTAAAAATCAGACAAAAATAATACTTTCCTGATTGTGATACTATGTGTCCTTCAGTTCACTTGTATGAAACAATAATTGACTAAATGCTACAACTCTCACCATTTTCTTATGAAATCTAACCCCTTTGGTGACAGTAAGTGCAACTTTACAGAGTGTTTAGTACAGAAATTACATGATATCTGGCTCTACTCTGATATCTGACATTTTGGAGTCTGTTGTTCCAGATGGTTCATCATGAAACAATATCTGATATTATTCACTGAAACCCTAGTCTTTCTACAGAAACACATCTTTCTTTCAGATAATGCTGCTTACACATTTTGATACAGACAGGGTTTTAACTTTATGCCCTAAACCTTAATGTATCTACTTTTCATCACTCAAATATAAATGCCTTACTAATCTTAAATAAGTACATAAAAATTTTGTGTTTCCCACTTCAGCCACTTCCAGTCAGTTTTTTGCAGCTCAGGTTTTAGTTGAAGTAAATATATTTTCCCTAATGAAGCACACAGAAGTTTGAAATAGCTTTTATCCTTTCACCTGAAACTGTGATTCCTGAGCCATTATTTTTCTTTCCTGGAAATATGTTCCATAATCCTGTACATTCCTTCTATGCCCTGTGCCCTTGAGTCTTACCACATTTCACTTTTTTCAGGAATGAACAGAGGTAATGGCAAACCATTCTAATGATGAGTGACAGCTATCAAGGTATGAAGTGCAGTCTTTGTAACAACTGATGCAAGACTTATCAAACTAAATATTTTCTAATTAGCACATAAAGAATTTTTTAATAGTTGCAAGCTACAGGATCTCCCTGAAGTAGTTCCTTTGTGTACTGGAATGTATAATTTAGGAAAATATCTAAACATACTTTAAAGATTTTCAGCAATTTCTACCACAGAAGTTACAATTTTTTATGTTCTACCAATATCATCAACTTTCAAATGATGTTATGGTGATTTCATGTGGCACTAGGGACTTCCTGTGTGGTCACTACCTGGAACTGTAATGTTCCAAATAGGCATCAGGATATCATCATTAACTTAAACGGTTTTGGTTTTGTTGCAGTTTCCTAGTATCATTCTTTTGGTCAACCACTCTGTATTCTGCAATACCATAAATATATCCCTGTCTGGAAAATTTATTTGAGTATAGGTACTAAATAGCTGTGATCTGCAACCACACAAACTGTCTATGTGCTCCAGCATTAAGTGAAGGGCAACATCTTATTTCAATAATTCAAACTACAGTATATAGACTGTTGTTTACTCATTTGAGAATCCAGTGTTCAGACACCACTTCAGTGAATCAAGCCTTATTTCTGCATTTCCTTACTCTTCTCACTCTTGAATAGACAATAAAATTTAAAAAGATCTGCTCCAAGCTCATCATTATTAAATAAATAAGCACCTAACAAAAACACAGTGACTAAGTTGCTTACAGACAGCAAGGTACTTGCTGAATTCTGTGAATGTAATTTTGAGGTTCACTTCCTGTCTTCAAGAAATCTGTATTCTGGTTGAACTCAGCATTCCTGTGTGTTGAGAGTTACAGGCATGCAGTCTTAGTTCTGTATGAATAAAGTTACTTTTGCAGATTTTTCTGAGTCACAGAAACAGTTTTATAACAATGACTGCATAGCAATACTAATAATGTTCTTGTGATGTAGCTCTTTCCATCATTAGTTAAATAGCATACAGAATTTAAATAGACTATGATCAAAAGAAAATCTTCAAAGTAATTTTCTGTGCAACTGCTAGATACGGAATTAAACTACGTATTTTAACTTTAACAGATTCTAATAACTTGGTAAAAACTTTCTGCTAGCTGCTTATACTTTGCATAATACTTTTAATATACTACTTCTTTGGTCTGATGATACAACTTACAGTATAGAATATTTTATCAGAATATCACAAAACACTATGTAAAACCCACTCATAATTGACTTTATTTGATATACCTGTCATTAAGAAGCAATATTACCTCCCCAAAAGCAAAGAAAAAGTTGGAAACAGAGTTAAATACTATTCTAAAACCTCAACCCCATCATTCTAATAATTGCATAATGCTAGCCTAGTTTAGTCGGATAACTAGTTTAGTTAGAACTTGTCCAAAAATCTAAAGAATGCTTGAGAGAAAGCAAACAAATTCTGGTATCCAGGGACAAACTAGAGAACTTAAATATTCAGGGGCTCTGAAATACATTAAATTAGACTGTATGTGAACAGTCAATAATAAAGGAAAAACATGTTAAATGTCAAGTCCAAGCAATCAAAAAAGGACAAGGATTGCTTAGTGCATGCTCTTCAGACCTCAGCATCTGCTATGCAGTATAAGAGAGAACACATCAATGTCAAGAATGATAACCCTCTCCCTGACCTTCTTCCACTTACTGCCTGCTAAATACTTTCTTGGCTCCGCTGTGGCATAAGACAAATATACCTCACTTACATAATTATATACATGTCTACAATTACCTCACATTCTGTCCAAACATCACTGCCACTGCTGGCAGAAAGAAAATCCTTGCTGGCATATCTGACAATGTGAATGCCCATTAGTGTCCATTTCAGAAAGCTGCAAACTGAATAACACAAGAATTTCTTGACAGCTTGACCAAAAGTCATCAGGCTTTCTTTTTTGAATTCCTCCCACCCGTCCCTATGTGGCTAACTGAAACATATTGTTCTTTATTATATTACAAACTTCAAGCTGGAGTGAATTTTCTTTCCATTTTGATGATGGTGTATATCAAAACCCAAGCTGTCGCTTCCAAAACTGCATGCTTCAGACACCAGCCTAGAAAATGCATTTATCTCAAAGAATTACTGCAAGAGGGGTCAGATTCATGTCAATAGCTAGTAAGTTGTATAGATATACTGACAGGATCAGGACCTGCTAAATTAAAAATGACATATTTGTGATTCACACCTGCTTTAACACAGGGAAAAAGATTACTTCACTGAAGAGCCGCATTAAAGATCGAATTGCATGAAAGATCTTAATCTGAACCTACAAAAAACAATATGCTACTTAGAAGAATAAATTTTCTTCTCTGCTAGTCTGATTTTTGTCTTTGAATTTATAATAGATCTTTACGATAGAGAAGTACTACAAAAGATAGCCATTGCTCTCTAGTCCTCTTACCAGCGAGTTTGTTATTTCAGCTCCTGAGAACATTTAGCACTTGAAAATATGCAACAGAGAAGCTTCAGAAAAGGAGACAGCAATTAATAGTAAGCTTATGTTCTCACACATATTACATCATCTTGGTATAGCGGTAAAACAAAAGCTTACAAAAAGAGTGATGCTGAATTGTGCCATATATCCTAATTCAAGGTAATAAGGCTAGATGACATTATTAAAATATTGATTGCATAAAACAAAAGTTTTAATGAAATATTTTAATTCTAATTGCTATATCTGGATATATTCACACATATACTTACAAACATTTGTGGCCTAAACCTACATGTCTATATTCCTCATATATTCAATTCTTACTAAAAGAAACCTGACCAACTGAGAGGTTCAAGCAGCATGCTGTATGAGCAAATACTCATTATTTCCAGACTTTTTTTTTAACTTGTTTATATTAAAGATTAATTTAATTGTTATATTAAAGAAAATATTGAAACTACTACTGAATTAATAAATGAGATTTTAAGACCAAGCTTGAAAGATCAGTGCCTACAAATACAATCGAATTAAACAGGCACATTTCTAAACCATACTGTTTGGATAGTTGTTTCCTTTGTTCATTAAGATTAAAAGGAATTCAATCAAATAGCAGGAATATTTATTCTTCCTACCGTTG